GGGGAGGCTGTGGTTGCGAGGTGCTGGGGTTTGTTTCGGGGCGGGGGAACCCCTGCAGCTTCCTGGAGGGTTTCATTTCTTAGAAGCAGAGAGCCCCTCAACACACACACACACACACACACACACACACACACACACACACACACACACACACCCGCTGTGGGGAGGCGATGGTGACACCCGTAATGGTGAGGGGGACAGCAGCCGGGAGCTGGGGTCCCAATCCCTGCGGAACCCCTTTGGGGCTCCTCAACCACCTCTTCCTTGTCTCTGAACCCCAACTTTGCCCTCCAGGAACCCCCTCTTCCCTCTCTTCCATGTAGCTACACTTCTATATTTAGCAACTTGAGCTTGCACAATCCAGCCGCCACCGCCGGGAACTATAAATACAGACTGGAAGCTACTCCAGGGGCCGGGCTGGGACGCGGTAGGGAGCAGGGGAGGAAGGGTGGGGTCTTCGCCCGTGCGCGCTCGCGCCTGCCAGGGACCCCCAGGCCAGGTGGCTAGGGACGGCCCCAAGCCGCAGGTGTCCAGCCTGGCGCGTGGAGGCGGGGGACAGGCAGGCCTGGCCAGCGGCCTCCCTCCCCACCCTCTTCCCTCGCTCCCTCCCAGGGGCTTCCTGGCTTGGGGACAGTTGTCTGTATTCACAATAGCCCGGCCGCCCTCCTGGAGCCGGCGTGGCTGGGTGGCTGGGCTCATCCGCGGGGGTGCGCCCACGCGGGGGCTGCCCGGCCCCTTCCTTTGCCATTGTCTCCCAGCTGCCTCTGGGTATCCTGTGATACCCCCTCCTTCCCGCCTCTGCCCGGAGACCCCATCTGACCCACGCAGTCTGCCTGGGACTGTGTGGGGCGCTGGATAGAAGCGAGGCTAGGCGGATGGGGGGTTGGGGGTTGGGGGTCCCTGCTTTCTCCTCCAGGCACTTGGCAGAGAAGGATCCCCTACCCACCGCCCCCCCCACACACACACACCCACCCTCCATCTGAAGCAAGCTGCTACCCATTTCACAGGAGGGACAAACTGAAGCCCAGAGAAGCCACCCCCGCAGACCACACAGCGCAGAAAGGGAAGGGTGTGGCCTGCGACTTTCACACACAGTAACCACTTGGCAGCGGATCAACTCCCCACGCTGTGCCTCAGTGGATGCATGGTCAGGTGGAAGTGACACAGCAGAGCCACTGATTGGTCAGTGGGCTGAACCGCAGAGGGGCTGCTCCGTACAGCACCGGTTCACGTCACTTTGCATCCAGCTCCCTGCCTGTGGCCTGGGAAAGCAGCAGAGGACGGCCCAAAGCCTTGGGACCCTGAACCCGCGTGGGAGACCCGGAGGAAGCTCCTGGCTCTCACGCGGTTGTTGCGGGCGTTTGAAAAGGGAACCAGCGGAGGGAAGCACTCTCTCTGTGTAGTGTTCAAGTCGACAAAAAACTAGTAAATGACTACAATCCGGGTCAAATGCTGCAGACGCCAGGTGCACGCCAAGCCAGCAGCGACGCTATGGGGTGTTCACCTGTCTGTCTCAGGCTGTCAGGGATTCACTGTCCCTCCCACAGCGGGAGATCTTCCATCTTCTGGTTCACTCCCCAAGTGGCCACAATGGTCAGGGAGCTTCCTCCAGGTCTCCCACGCAGGTGCAGGGTCCCAAGGCTCTGGGCCGTCCTCCACTGCTTTCCCAGGCCACAGGCAGGAAGCTGGATGGGAAGTGAAAAAGCTGTGATTCGAACTGGTGCCCATAGAGAATGCCAGCGCTTGCAGGTGGAGGAGGGGGAGCGGAGAAGGGAAGCTCCCAGAAGCCTTTTTGCCCCATTCAGTCTGCCACCCTACTGTTGAATGACCCCCCCCCCGCCCCCGCCGCCCCGCAGAGGCCTGGCTGCTCGGCTCCAAACTCCACAGACAAGAGAACGGAGGTCCAGGGAGGTTGGACCTGCTCCCAGGACCCAGGAAACAGGCAAGCAGAGACACACATCACCACACCACCACACCAGGGATGGGGGAAGGGAGACAGGAGCACAAACAATCCAGACAGAGGGGTGTGGTCAGCACCTGGCCTGCCCCGTGCAGGTTCCTCCAGGGCACGGGCTGGGCTGAGGTCGCCCTGCCCCAGGATGGAGGGGACGGGGCTGGCCCGGGTGGGCCTTGAGCCCAGGACTTTCCAGCTTTCTGGGCCAAAGGCCAAACCGCCAGCGTGCTGTCCGTCCTCCAAGGCCTTGCAGTCCGCCCCAGGCCCGGGTCTGCAAAGTGGGCCGCTCCTTCTCAGCCGTCCCCTGCCTACATTCGGTCATCGGCACCCCTTGACCCTCCCTGCCCAGCACCCACCTCCTTGAACGCCCTTAAACCTCACGTTTTCAATAAGTTATTGCCTCTGCCCCTCTAAGCCAGGCAGGGTTCACTTCCTCTTTGTTAAATAAACCCCGTGCTTTGTCCCCCGGAGAGCCAAGACGCTTCCATACAACCAATGAAGGGTTCTAAGGGACAGAAACAGCGGTCCTGGGGAGGGGGGTGCGGAGTGGGGGAGGGGGTGCGGAGCGAAGGAGGGGGGTGTGGAGCGGGGGAGGGGTGCACAGGGCGTGCCCGAGTCCCGGCCCCCATTCCTGGCTCCAGCTCCCCGCTAAGGCCAGACCCCCAGAGGGGAATGGTGCCTCGGTGCTAGGTTCCTGCCTGGTTCTCAATTCTTGCTCTGGACCTTCCAGTGGGGGGGGGGTCACCCTTGCATGCAGGACCACCCTGGACAGGTTGGCCCTTTAGGGCTGGCATCAGGTGATAAGTCTTTGATGCTTTGTAGCCTCAGTTCCCTAAACCCCGAATGACGCAGTCCTCCTGGGTACAGATGTCAGAGGAGCCAAAGCAGGGGCGGGTTCTGTGCCAACCAGGGGCCTTTTCCTCGAAGGGACCGGGCACTCTGGGTGTGTCCTAGAGCCTGGCCCCTCCCCTCGCCCCACCCACACCCCCAGGACACCGGCGCGAAGGGCTGGGCGCTGCTGCTGCGCCCTCCACACTGCTGTTTTGAAACCAGCTTTGCGATGAGATGGCTGGGAAGACAAGGCCGGTCACGGGATTGATCGGAAAGGGAAGCTGCCACCTGACATGGCACATGTGTGGTCCTTTGTGGTCAGAGCCCCTGAATTTTTTTTTTTAATTGTAACATTGGGGGGCTGGGCATGTGGGTACCCCCCTGCAGAAAGGGCTGCTTGTTTGTTCCCACACCCAGCTCCCCAGCCTCACCTTGTGTTACCATCTGACAAATGGGTGGAGAAGCTCGGCTGCGGGAGCGTGGTATGGCCAGTATGGCAAAGCTGGGAGCCCAGGGAGGTACCCCGCCTCTGCTGTGGGCGCTGTTGTAACCCCCCGCCCAACCTCAACACGCACCTGGCACCCCTGGTCCCTGAGGACAAGAAGCCAGCAGACCTCAGGTCGGCAGAAACGAGCGGCTGTGTGCACACACATGTGCGTGTGTGTATGGGGTGGGTGTTCACGCGTGTGGGTGTGTCCGTGCTTATGTATTATGCTCACACGTATGTGTGTGGTGTGTGATGCCTTGCGTGTGCCTGAGCGTGTCTGTGTCAGCAGTGTGTGTGTGTGCGTGTGTGTGCGTGTGTGTGTGTGTGTGTGTGTGTGTGTGTGTGTGCAACGCTCCTGGGCTCTGTTTTTACTGCACTTTCCTGTTGCCTTCCAGCTGTACCGCCAGTTCCGGGGAGGGCCCTGGGCCAGCTCTGTCCCCCTCCCCGCCCCCCTTCATAAAGGCTGAGCTCCCGGGGGCCGGCCCGCACAGCTGCCCAGCCAGAGAGAGAGAGAGAGAGAGAGAGAGAGAGAGAGAGAGAGACAGAGCCGCGCGGGACAGCCGGGTCCCCCCCTCGCCTGCCACTCCAGCCTGCCCGCACCCACACAGGCCTGGCCGCAGGAACCATGGGTGTCCTCCTGGGTGAGTTCTTGGGGGGTCTCCTGGGAAAGGGCGTGGGGAACCGGCCGCAGTCACTCACTCACCAGCTCACTGGCCCAGGAAGCCACATGGCCAGGCAGGGCTGGGAGACAACACATGGGACAGATCCAGGCACCCACAAGGGCCAGGCGGGAGACTCGGGGTGCCGTGACAGCTGCTCTGCTGGCCGAGAGGACAGTCCCCAAAATCTCTCCACCGGCCAATTTGGGAAGATTGAGTCTGGCGGGAGTGGGGTGGGGGCAGGGCTTCAGGGCTGTGCGGGCAGGGGTCGGAGAGCTGGTGTGTGGGTGTGTGTGGCTGGCTCCAGTCAGTGGCAGCCGGTAGTCCCAAAAATCTCTCCTCCCAGCCGCTCCCCCGGATCTGGCCAGCCTGACCTGTACCCATGAGAAATTTGGAGGGATTTTGAACTTGACTGTGTTGGTAACTTCCCCTGCCTCCCACGGCGGGCGTGTGTGTGGGGTGCCTCCCTTTCCGCCCCAGCCCCAGTGGCTGCTGTAACGGTTTCTGTTATCGGGGCTGTGGGTTGCCTAAGCAACAGGCTAACACAGAGAGGGAAGAAGTGACATTTTTTGGGGGGGAGTGGAAACAGTCCACAGCACCAGCTGTTCCTCCCCCCACCACCAGCTCACTTACCTCATCCAGGGGTGGCAGGTGGCAGCCCAGGGCCCTTCCCTCTCCCCCATGGGAGCTTGGGGATCCCTGTGTGTGGTGTGTGTGGGGGGGCGGATACAGACACATGTTGGGGTCTGCAAACCTGCAAGACCCCAACAAACCTGCTTCATTTTCCCCCCATCTGTGGAAAAAGCCTGTTATTCCCAGCCATCTCCCCTCTGCCAAAAAAAAAAAATTTTTTTTAAAGTCCCAGGAAACTCTGGCACTCTGGTACCCACTTCCTCCCCAGGGACCCCCTATAGGATCAGGCTGCCTGAGTGAGAGCACATGGCCAGCATTCCCGATCAACGGGAAGTAGTATTTGTTTTGTTGTTGTTGTTGTTGTTGTTGTTGTTGTTGAACTCTCTGGCCTGGTCTGGGAAAATGCTGGCCCGAGGTGGCCCCACCCCTGTCCCTGGGAGACTGGGAGCAGACACACGGCGGCGGCGGTGGCGGCGGCTACTCTCCTGGCTCCCGTTTGGTCGTGGTCCAAAGCCCCAGATGGAGGCCGGCGGCGGCAGCTGCTACAAGCAAGCCAGGACCAGGCCGGGGGTCCGGGGGAAATCCCGGCCCTAACTCAGGACCCTGATCAGGGCCTGGGGCAGAGGGCACGGGGATGGGAGGGAGGGTGGTCAGCCTCCTTGTCCCCAGCCCTCCCCAGCTGGCTAACTGCCCCTCACCCAGATCATCCCATGTCCCCTCTGCCACCCTACCTGGTCCCCAGTGATCCCAGCTCTGACTTCCCAGCCACTGAGCCCTCCCCGCCCTAGAGTGGTTTTGAACTAGAAAGGCGGGCGGGTGGTGGGGGGGGGATGAATTTGAGAGCCCAGGACCATCATTTTGTGGTCTGTCTGGCCAAGAGGAACTGGGTCCCCGCCCCGGGAGTGGGAAGGTGTGGTGGGGGGAAGTAGCCCAGCAGTGTGGCCAGATAGGAAAAGAGCTGAGCTTGGGCCAGAGTGGGGGTAGCGCCTGGGCTGGGGAAGGGAAGTAGGGGGTGTCTCCCTCTGCCTCTCCACTCTCCCCTCCCCCAGCCTGAGGGGCACCAAGGTTGGACAGGGAGGGAATAGGCCCCCCGCTGTGCTCACAGTGTGGGAGTCACCCCCCAGGGTTGCATTGGGACGATCAATAGCAGAGTGGTGTGTCCTGGCTCCCCCCCACCCAGGAAGTGACCCATGACCACCCAAGGGCTCCATTCCTTGGCCCTCTGACAGCTCTCCTGTCCCCAGCATCGTACATGTCACTCAATTCATGGAGTCTTGGATGATTCGCCCCCAAACTCCCAGAGTATCTGGTCCTCCGAGCTCTACCCAGGGGTGTACCTGCTGCTGTGCCACCTCCACCCACTGACACCCAATCTGTATTCCACTGTGCTCTCTCCATTCCTGTTCCCTGGCCTTCTCTCCCTCCCCCACTCCCAGGGACTAGCAAGAAGATCCCCTGGCTGACGTGGGGACTCCCACCCAGACCATTTTCCCAGGGCGGGGGCTCCGGCTGAGCTGAGCGCCAGGGGTCTCGGGAGAGGATGGGGGTCCGTGCCTCTAGAAGCTGGATCCTGTGCGTGGGCCGCTGGATCCTGGGGCCACGGTGGAACGCCTGGCCGGCCGGTGGGCAACAAGCAGTGGCCAAGGGTGCACCGGCTCCTTGTGCTGTGGGAGGCGGGCGGGAGTGGGACAAGGGGGTGTCTGTCACAACAATCCCTGGGAGTTCCTGGGAACGCGCAGCAGGCGGCACTGGTGAGGTCCACTCCCATGCAGCACTGGGAGGTAGGGGGTCCCGGCCTGGGGAAGTGGGGTGCTCCGGTGGTCCTGCTAGGCAGACTGGGAAACCAAGGCAGGGAGGGACACGGTGCCCTGGCCAGGTCACTGAGATCCACCTGCTGGTTGTTGGAGGCCTCCGGGCTCCAGGGCCCCCTGACCCCCATCCCTGTCTCCCTGCAGTGCTGTGGGCCCTGCTGACTGCGTTGGGAGCTGCAGCCCAGAAACCCCAAGGTGAGTACGCTAGGAGCAGCACCGGCCACAGCCTGGGGACAGGAGCCCTGGGCTCCCGACTCTGCATCCCTCAGCCCAGCACAGTGGGGGGAATCTGATGTGGGGGAGACCTGGGGCTGTCTCCCCTCCACAGCCCCGGCTCAGCTCCAAGCTTCTGATTGCCGTCTACCCCACCCTGCAGCCTGTGCCCCGTGGTGCCCTAGGAATTCCATGTGTGTCAACGCCACAGCCTGCCGCTGCAACCCAGGGTTCAAGGCCCTCTTTGGGGACGTGTTCACAGATCCCACAGACACCTGTGAAGGTACGGAGACTTGGGAGATGAGGGCGGTTACAGGGGGGCGTGGCTGGAGACACACACAGAGGACCTGGGTCCTCCTGGAAGTCTGTGCCTCAGTTTACCCCCTGGACTGGGATAGAGATGCTGTGTTCCAATCCAGAGGGGGATTGCAGGGGTCGGGGGGCGGGAGTTACCCCAAGAACTAAGATGGGCAGCAGTGTGAGACAGTAGCCTGCATGGGCGGGGGATCCAGGCACCGTGCAGGCTGGTGGGGGTGTGCTGTCCGGCCGCCTCGTTGGCGGGTGGGGAGAGAGTCTGCCTGGAGGAGGAAGGATTCACCCAGGCCCTGTGGCTGCCTTGGCAGACATCAACGAGTGCGCCCCTCCCCGCTCCCTTTCCTGCGGGAGATTCGCCGACTGTAAGAACGTGGATGGCAGCTACTACTGCGAGTGCATCCAGGGCTACGAGCTCACATCCGGGGAGCGAAACTTCTCCACCGAGAGCCAGAACACGTGTCAGGGTGAGGCCCCCCGCCCCTGCCCACCACAGCCTCCCACCCCTTGCCTGCCCACCCCCAGAAGAGGGCATGGGGCTTCTGGCCTGCCATATCCAGGGACTGGGCTGGGACACCCGTGCCACAGGCTGGGACACCCGTGCCATGGGCTAGGACGCCTGTGCCATGGGCTGGGACACCCGTGCCATGGGCTGGGACACCTGTGCCATGGGCTGGAGTGGGGATTCGATCAGGAGGCACAGTCAGCTAGGACGGGAAGATGGGATCCTACGTGTGGTGGTTTGATGGAAAAGAGAGGGCACAAAAAAAAAAGGAAGGGGGAATCTGTTTATGTAATCTGGAAGTCACCATTACAGAAGGGAGAGGAAAAGACAGAGCTGGGCCAGTGTGAAGCCAGGAGCTTCTTCTGGGTCTTCCGTGCAGGTGCAGGGTCCCAAGGCTGTGGGCCGTCCTCCACTGCTTTCCCAGGCCACAGGCAGGGAGCTGGAGGGGAAGTGGAGCAGCTGGAGGCAGGAGTCACCCAGAGAGAGGGCACGGATGGATACCAGGATCGCAGAGGGCAGGGCTGGTAGTAAGGATTACAACTGATCTCGGAGAGTCCTGACCAAGGCTCCAAGTTCCTCCCTGCCGCTGAGGATGGATGGGACACGGATATGTGTCCCTGGGTGGGGTGGGAACAGGCACCTGCCCACTGCCCTGATGGCACCTCCAGGACTGGGCTTGTCCCTTTCATGGTGACCAGGATGAGGCCCCCGCTGGACCCAGACACCTGTGCGGGATGGAGAGTGGGCAGGCAGCCATGTGCAGTGAGCTCGGAGTCTATATCAACCAGCTGGGGTGGGAGGTGGCCTCCACTCACCTCTTCCTGGACCAAGGGGAACCTGGGGGCCCAGCTGGGAACTCAGAAGACCTCCCTGGAGTGGCTGAGGTGGGGACCAACACCCCAGTCCAGAGGGGACTGGGCTGCCATGGGGACACGGGACATAGTGTCCTTGGGGCTGAGCTGTGTGGCCGTGGCTTTTCTGCCTACTTCTTGCACCAGCCCACGGGGACCCTGTGCCTGCCAGTCGGCCTCCCCTGGGCCACCTCCGAGGAGCTGGCAGCAGGCCCCATGAGAGCATGGCGGGTCCTTCTAGCCACCTTCCAATCCCAGAGACCCGACCTACCGGCGGGGACGACAGGGGCCAGCTTCCTCCCGACCAGGCATGGCCTCGCCACTGTGTCTCCCCGCCCCCATCAAGGCCATCCCAGACGGCGCCCCGGTGAAGCCCTGAATGCAGGCCAGCCCTGGGCCCGGAGGGCAAGCGTGGTCAGCATCGTAGAGCTGGACAACGTGCCCTCTGGGTTTGGCCTGCAGACCCGCAGAGAGGGGCGGGGACTGGACAGGGGCGTGGCCGCCAGGTCGAGCCTACCGCCTGCCGGGGAACCCTCCAACCCTCTGCTTGTAGGAGGGATAACTTCTTTTTGCAGAAGGCCAGCTCCTTGACTCAGTTCCCTGTTGGATCCTGTCCCCCCATACCCATAAATGTGGGATCCATGTGCACATCTCCTTTAACAAGACTGGTTTGAAAGGTGGAGTGACAGACAAAAAGATCTTCCGGCCCCCGGTTCAGTTCCCAGATAGCTACAATGGCAGGGGCTGGGGCAGGCCAGCCAGGAGCTCCATCCAGGCCTCCCACGCAGGTACAGGAGCCCAAGCACTTGGGCCATCCTTGACTGCTTTCCCAGGCCACAAGCAGGGACCCGGGACTCGAACCGGCGCCCACATGGGCTGCCGGTGCCCATGGGCAGTTGGTCTGAAGGTGACACCGAAGGTCACTGCTGGATTGTGGCTGCAGGACCTGGCCATGGAGACGTGGGGGCAGCAGGTGCCGTGAGTGGAGGGGAGGCCAGCCCGGCCAGGGTGGCCCTGACCCTCTGGCTTTGTCCTCAGACGTGAACGAATGCACTTGGAAACCAGGGCCGTGCCACAACTCCACCCACTGCATCAACAAGGCAGGTGGCTATGTGTGCCTCTGCCGCCCAGGCTGGGAACCGGTGCCCGGGTCCCCCAACGGCCCCAACAACACCGTCTGCCAAGGTCCGGGGCTCGCTCTGCTGCCCAGTCACTGCCCACAGTCTGGCCCACTGACCCCTCGGGGAGGCACTGCTGCCACCGAGGCTGGATGTGGAGAGACCCTCGGGGGGTGCCAGGGATGGAGCTGGGGCGGGGAGGGGCCAGGCTTCTACAGGCTTCCCGCTTACTCCTCCCTCGGGGCACGCCGTCAGCAGGTGGCAGCACTGCAGCCACTGGGGCACAGAGTGGACAAAGGCAGGCTGGGGGCTTGGGCAGGAGGCAGGGGCAGGGGGGTCAGGGGACCCGGCCTGACCCCGCCATTCTGTACCCAGACGTGGATGAGTGCAGCTCCGGGCAGCATCAGTGTCACAGCTCCACCCACTGCATCAACAAGGCAGGTGGCTATGTGTGCCGCTGCCACCCAGGCTGGGAACCGGTGCCCGGGTCCCCCAACGGCCCAGTCAACACCGTCTGCCAAGGTCCGGGGCTCGCTCTGCTGCCCCAGAGCCAGTCACTGCCCACGGTCTGGCCCACTGACCCCTCGGGGAGGCACTGCTGCCACCGAGGCTGGATGTGGAGAGACCCTCGGGGGGTGCCAGGGATGGAGCTGGGGCGGGGAGGGGCCAGGCTTCTACAGGCTTCCCGCTTACTCCTGGGGCACGCCGTCAGCAGGTGGCAGCACTGCAGCAGCTAGGGCACACACGGGTAGGGGTGGGTAGGGAGGAGGCAGGGTCAGGCTCTGGAGGCAGGAACGGGGTGGGTGGTCAGACCTGACCCCGCCATTCTGTACCCAGACGTGGACGAATGCAGCTCCGGGCAGCATCAGTGTCACAGCTCCGCTGTGTGCAGCAACACCATCGGGACATACAAGTGCCGCTGCCGCCCAGGCTGGGAACCGGTGCCCGGGTCCCCCAACGGCCCAGTCAACACCGTCTGCCAAGGTACCTGGTGGCCCTGCCCCCGAACCCCGCCCACCCCCACCGCACCCACCTGATGCCCACCCTGTCCCGTCCTCCAGCAGACATCCTGTCCAACTGGACCCCGCCACCTGGTGTCCACAGCCAGGTGAGTGCCCACCCTGAGCCGGCTGCACAAGGCAGGAAAAGCCCTTGCTCCGAGCTGCCTGCCCACACCAGGCCATGGCTTCCTGCTGCCCCCCGACCCTGCCCCCACGGGCTCTCTGACCCTGCTGTCCCCCACCCTGCCCCCACGGGCTCTCTGACCCTGCTGCCCCCCCACCCTGCCCCCACAGGCTCTCTGACCCTGCTGTCCCCCCACCCTGCCCCCACGGGCTCTCTGACCCTGCTGTCCCTCCCCTGTGCAGGCCCTCTCTCAATTCCTTGACAGAATGCAGGCTCTGAGCAGGGACTTCAAGACCACCTCAGCCAAGGACACCATCCAGGTAAGGGCAGGTGCTGGAGGAGGCCAGGGTGGCATGGGGGTGACCAGGGCACCCTCGGTGCAGGTCGAGACAGCCCATGTTTCCAGTTTGAAACCCACATGGGTGCAGGCCGCTAGGGTCATCCTCCACTGCTTTCCCGGGTGCATAAGCAGGGAGTTGAGTCAGAAGTAGAGCAGCTGGGACTCGAACTGGAGTCCCTGTGGGGTGCCAGGAATGCAGGCCGGGGGCTTAACACACTGTGCCACATTGTAAGGTCTTGGTGACTCCCTGGAGTGGCTAAGAGGTGGTCAGGTGAGCCACCAACTTCGTCCTTTTTGGCCCCTAGAACCTCATTCAGTTGACGGATGAACTCCTCGGAGCTCCCGGAGACCTGCAGCAGCTGGCCCAGACTGACCAGAACCGCGTGGCCACCCAGGTGCTCACGGGCATGGAGCAAAGCTTGAGGATGCTGGCCACGACCTTGCCTGTGGGTCCTTTCGTGTACCGCTCCCGTCTGGGCACAGGTGAGGGGTCCCCGCGCCCCTGCCCCAGCCCTTCTCTCCCCTGCCGGGTGCCCCCCCCCCCAATCACTACTCATCCCTCCCTCCCCAGAGCTGAGCCTTGTGGTCGCCGAGAAGGAGGCGGAGGGCAACATCACCATCGGCCAGAGCCACGGCCGGGTGCTGCTGGACTGGGCAGTGGCCAGCGAGGAGGGGGATTCTGGTACTGCGTGGCAGGGGCTGCGGGGCGGGGCTTACTGCGTGGGTGCTGTGGGGCAGTGGTTAAGTGCTCCTGCTGGCATCCCCTGTGATGGCTGGACCATTTCTGATTCAGCACACACACACACACTGGGGCTCTTGTGGGCATTTGGGGGAGTGAACCAGTGGAAGGAAGATTCTGATCTTTCAAAGATTCATTTTTGGGGGGCAGAGGGGGAAAAGGTTACCTGGGGAGGGATAAGATACAGCTCTTTCTATATAAATGGACGGGAAAAGCGGCCACTGGCCTGCAAGGGATGGGGTTGTGCCGTTCTGGGAGGGACCAGAAGGCAGCAGCGAGCAAACGCCGCGTGCCTCCCGCAGGCAACAAGGTGGCAGGCATCCTGTCCAGCCCCCGCATGGATAAGACCCTGCTGGCCAACGCCTCCCTGGTCTTGGAACCCGAGGAGCGAACTGAGCTGGAAGCTGCCCACGAGGTCCCCCTACGAGGCGCCCGGCTTCAGCTGCTGTCGGCCGTCAACTCCATCTTCGTGAGCAACAGGAAAACCCAGAGGCTCAGCTCACCTGTCACCTTCGCCTTCTCCCACCTGGTGAGCCCTTGTGGGGGTGTGAAAACCAGCCCCCCGCCCACCTGTCCCCCAGTGGCCTCTGACCACGCCCCCAGTGCGGGGCCTGCCCTCTAGCCACGCCCCCACCACCCCTGCACTGCCCCCAAGCTGGCAGACGCCCCCACCACCCCTGCACTGCCCCCAAGCTGGCAGACGCCCCCACCACCCCTGCACTGCCCCCAAGCTGGCAGACGCCCCCACCACCCCTGCACTGCCCCAAGCTGGCAGACGTCCCCCCACCCCCTGCACTGCCCCCAAACTGGGAGACGCCCCACCACCCCCTGCACTGCCCCCAAGCTGGCAGACGCCCCCTCCATCCCCTGCACTGTCCCGAAGCTAGCAGACGCCCCCACCACCCCTGCACTGCCCCCAAGCTGGCAGACGCCTCCACCGCCCTCTGCACTGCCCACAGCCGCAGACACCTGGACCCCGCCAGGAGCTCATCTGTGCCTTCTGGAAGAATGACAGCCAGGGCCACGGACACTGGGCCACCACGGGCTGCCGCAAGCTGGGCAGCCAGAATGGCAGCGTCACCTGCCAGTGTAACCACCTGAGCAGCTTCGCCGTGCTTATGGCTCACTTCGACTTTGAGGTGGGTGACGCCCACCCCTTGCCCTACACCCCTAGGAGTTGGCAGGGGATGGCTCCCTGCTGGCAGAGGGGGTGGGCACATGGAACCAACCAGACATGGAGGACTTTCCCAGGCAGCCCTCTCCATGTGGCACTGTGGCCAGGACTAGCGGGGGCGGGAGAGGAGTTCAGAGAGGACCACCCCAGGCCCTCGCACACCCACACCTGCTTGTCCTGCCCGCCCCTAGGACCCAAAGCTGGCCCTGGTCACGAAGGTGGGCCTGTCGCTATCGCTGGTCTGCCTTCTGCTGTGTATCCTCACCTTCCTCCTGGTGCGGCCCATCCAGGGCCCCCGCACCACCGTGCACCTGCACCTGTGTGTCTGCCTCTTTGTGGGCTCTGCCATCTTCCTGGCCGGCATCGAGAATGAAGGCGGCCAGGTGGGGAGGCCCTGCTGCGCCCTTGGCCTGGGATGGGGGTCCGAGCCTGACCCTGACCCAGGCGCTTGGCCCAAAATGGGGGTCCCAGACTGGCCCTGGCCCAGGGTGGAGGGTCCTGGCTGGCCCTGGCTGGTCCTGGCCCAGGGTGGGGGTCCTGGCTGGTCCTGACAGATTCTGGCCCAGGGTGGGGTCCTGGCTGGTCCTGGCCCAGGGTGGGGGTCCTGGCTGGTCCTGAGGGCCCAGGGTGGGGGTCCTGGCTGGCCCTGGCCCAGGGTGGGGGTCCTGGCTGGCCCCCGACGGCCCCCTCTCCGGGCCTGATGGCGTCCCTCCCTGGGCTCCCCGGGCAGGTGGGGCTGCGCTGCCGCCTGGTGGCCGCACTGCTGCACTACTGCTTCCTGGCGGCCTTCTGCTGGATGAGCCTGGAGGGCCTGCAGCTCTACTTCCTGGTGGTGCGCGTGTTCCAGGGCCAGGGCCCCCGCACGCGCTGGCTCTGCCTCTTCGGCTACGGCGTCCCGCTGCTCATCGTGGCCATCTCGGCGGCCGCCAACGGCCAGGGCTACGGCCGCGAGCTCTGGTGAGTGCGCGGGGGGCTGCGGGCTGCGTGGGGGCTGCGGGCTGCGCGGGGGCTGCGGGTCCGTGTGGGGGTTGCAGGCCTGTTGGGGGGCTGTGGGTCTGTTGGGGGGTTGCAGGCCTGTTGGGGGGTTGCAGACCTGTTGGGGGGCTTTGGGCCTGTTGGGGGGCTGCGGGCCCGTGCAGGGGGTTGTGAGCCCGTGCGGGGGCCTGTGCAGGGCTATGGGCCTGTTGGGGGGCTGCGGGCCCGTGCGGGGGTTGCGGGGTCCCCTCCCGGCACCCCGTCATCGCTGACTCTCCCGCAGCTGCTGGCTGAGCCTGGAAGGCGGCTTCCTCTGGAGCTTCGTGGGACCCGTGACCGCCATCGTCCTGGTACCTGCCCGACCCCGCAGCCCAGGCCCCTGACGCCCCTCCGGGTCCCCCAGGACGGGGACCCCCTGACCGCGCCCTCTGCTTCCCACGCAGTGCAACGCGGTCGTCTTTGTCATCACTGTGTGGCGGCTCACGCAGAAATTTTCGGAAATCAACCCCGACATGAAGAAACTCAAGAAGGCCAGGTGCAGCCAGGGGCGGGGCCTAGAGGGGTGGAGCCTAGGGCCAGAGGGCGGGGCCTGGGACCAGAGGGTGGGGCCTAGAGCAAGGGGCGGAGCCTATGGCCAGAGGGTGGGGCCTAGAGCAAGGGGCGGAGCCTATGGCCAGAGGGTGGGGCCTAGAGCAAGGGGCGGGGCCGAGGACCAGAGGGTGGGGTCTAGGGCAAGGGGTGGGGCCTAGAGCGAGGGTGGAGCATAGGGCCAGAGGGCGGGCCTGGAGCGAAGGTGGAGCCTAGGGCCAGAGGGTGGGGCCTAGAGCAAGGGGTGGGGCCTAGGGCCAGAGGGTGGAGCCTAGAGCAAGGGGCGGGCCTAGGGCCAGAGGGTGGGGCCTAGAGCAAGGGGCGGGGCCTAGGACCTGAGGTCAGTGGATGGAGCCTAGAGCAAGGGGTGGGGCCTAGGTCCAGAGGGTGGGGTCTAGAGCAAGGGGCGGGACCTAGGGCCAGGGGCGGGGCCTGGGTCCAGAGGGCGGGGCCTGGGGAGGCCCAGGGGGCAGCCTGCAGCCAGCACCGCGTCCCTGTCCCCGCAGGGTGCTGACCGTCACGGCCATCGCGCAGCTCGTCGTGCTGGGCTGCACGTGGGTGTTCGGCCTGTTCCTCTTCCAGCCACAGAGCTGGCACAACCAGGTTCTGGCCTACATCTTCACCGCGCTCAACTGCCTACAGGGCCTCTTCCTCTTTGTGCTGCACTGCCTGCTCAACAAGAAGGTGGACGCGGCCGGCGGGCGGGGGAGCGGGAGGCTGGGGGCCCTCGGGGGGCTGCTCGCTGACCTGGCAGCACCACCCACTCGCCCACAGGTGAGGGCGGAGTACCGCAAGTGGGCCTGCGTCATGGCAGGAAACAAGTACTCGGAGTTTGCCTCATCCAGCACAGCCACGAGCCATCAGACCAGCCGGGTAAGGGCCGGCCGGGGCTGGGTGCCGGAGGGTGGCTGTGGGGAACGAGGGACTTGCCCTCACGGGCTGCCGCGTCCGCAGGTGCCCAGGCCCTCGGAGTCCGGCATGTGAATCCACACCTCGAGGCGCTGGCGGGCCGGCAGCAGCTCCGCTGGCCACAGCAGCTTTTGCACGCACTGAATGAGGAAGCTGCCAGCTCCCTGCTGCCCTGGAGCTCCCTGGAGGGTGGGGTGGGGACTAACTGCACAGCTCCCCGCTGGGCACTGGACCACGCAGATGCCCCCTCCCCAGGCAGTGAGCGAGAAGCCAGCCCTGGGGCTGCAGCTCCTGGCCAGTCCTGGGGGAGGTGGGGTCCCTGCCGGCCCGTTCTTACCTGTCTTGGCCCGGGACAGGCCAGGGGGGGCCACCACTTCCTCTCTCAAGCTAAGACTGAGGTGCGGGGCCACCTGGGTGCACGGTACAGAGGCCCGGCTGCCCGCGGGGGCAGGGGCTCGCCCCGGCGTGAACTTGTGGGTGTCGCTGTGTCTGGGGCGTGGACACTTCATCAAGTGCCTCATTCCTGCACAAGGTGGCGGTGGGTGGGGCCTGTGCACACTCACCCGCCCACCCGCCCACCAGAGCAAGGAGCGCACACTCACCCGCCCACCAGCCCACCAGAGCAAGGAGCCAGGAGCCAGGCCTCCTTAATAAAAGTTTATTCTTATACAAGTTTACAGTCTTGTCGCCGGGGAGGGGCCGTGTGCAGCGGAGGGTGTGATGTTATCGGCTCTGCTCAACTGTGGGGACACAAGGGGAGGAGAGGTTGGCGTCAGGCCGCCCCGCGCCGCGCCCCGCCGCCCCAGCCCCCCGCGTCACTCACTGTATGTGGAGATGTCGATCTCCTCGGGCAGCTCGGCCACGTTCACTTCAAAGCGGTCCTGGACGTCATTGAGGATCTTGGCGTCGTTCTCGTCCGACACGAACGTGATGGCCAGGCCTTTGGTGCCGAAGCGGCCTGCGCGGGCCACCTGCAGGGAGACGGGGCGGGCTCAGCGCGCGGCTGGGCCCGCGGGCTCCGGCCTGCCCCGCCGCCCTGGCCGAGGGCACGGCTCACCCGGTGGAGGTAGGTGTCCGAGTCCTCGGGCATGTCGTAGTTGAAGACGATGTTGACGCGCTCGATGTCCATGCCGCGGCCGAACAGGTTGGTGGCCACCAGGATCCGCCGCTGGAAGTCCTTGAACTGCTGGTAGCGTGACAGGCTGGTGCGGGGACAAGAGGGCTCTCTCACTGTGGGTTCCGGGCGGCGCTCCCTGGCCTCGGCGGGGCGGCGCTCCCTGGCCTCGGCGGGGCGGCAGCGGGCACTCACCGCTCTTCCTGGGCCATGCCCCGGTGGATGGCAATGGCTGGGAAGTTCTGCTCCACGAGGAGCTGGGCCAGCGCCATGCAGCGCTGCACCGACTTGACAAAGATGACCACCTGGCAGGAGAGGGGCCGGTCAGGCTGGGAGCCCCGGGGGCGGCAGGTCCGGCGGGGTCTGAGCCCCGGGGCAGGGTGCCGGTGCCGGGGACAGGGAGCCCCTCACCTGGTTGAACTCCAACACGTCCAACAGGTCGAAGAGCTTGCGGTTCTTCTCACTGTCTTTGAGCTTGACGTAATACTGCTGCAGCCCGTGCAGGGTGAGCTTGGTCTCATCGTCCACAAACACCTCCATGGGCTGTGGGGGAAGGGGCGGGTCTCAGTCCGGGCGTCTCAGCCGACCCCGGCCCCGGCAGCTCCTCGGGCCCTGCTCCCTACTCACATCCTGCATGAACTTCCTGCACACGGGCCGGATCTCCTTGCTCAGCGTGGCGCTGAACATCATGCACTGCTTCTCGTGCGGCGTCAGCCGGAAGATCTCCTGCACGTCACGCCGCATGTCTGCGGGAGCCGGAGAGGGGGGCTGAGCGCCGGCCGCGCCCGCCTGCCCTCCCCCCGGGTTGGCGAGCCCCAGGCGCCGGAGGGGCTGGACTGGGGCGGGCGCAGAGGCGCGCGGGAGGAGCTGCAGTCCACTTACGCGCCGCCAGCCGTGCCAGGGCGCCTGCCAGGGCGCCTGCCAGGGCGCCTCGAGCCGCTTCAGGGAGGGCCGCCTGGGGCAGAGACAGCCGCTGGGGTAAGGGCTGCAGCTGCCGCCCGCCCCCCGCTGGCCGCCGGCAGGGCCCCCGGGCTCACCTAGCTGTTCCAGCATCTTGTCACACTCGTCCAGCACGAAGTGCTTCACGTTCCGCAGGTTGAGGCTGCGGCTGCGCACCAGGGCCAGGATGCGGCCCGGCGTCCCCACCACCACGTGCGGGCAGTTCCTCTTCAGCACCTCCTCGTCCTTCTTGATGGACAGGCCCCCGAAGAACACAGACACCTGGGGACACACGCAGGCTCGCCCTGCCCCGGCAGCTGCCCCGGCAGCCCCCCGGCCCCGTGCGGGAGGGGGCTAACCTTCACACTGGGCATGTACTTGCAGAAGCGCTCGTACTCCTTGCTGATCTGGAAGGCCAGCTCCCGCGTGTGGCACATGACCAGGACCGTCACCTGTGCGGTGGGCAGGGCAGCACGTCTGAAGACAGTCCCAACAAAATGGCTCCCCACGGCACCCTCGGTCTCGGTCCCCTTCACCCCAGAGCCACAGCACGGCCCGGATTGTGCCAACTCCCAGGTCATACCAGTCTCCCCCAGGCTCTGCCAAGCCATGGCCTAGGCACACCGCGGACAGCATGCTGGGCACCCCTTACCCTACCTGTAGAGAAAGCCCCACCCACCTGTCCATTGACCGGCTCGATCTGCTGCAGGGTGGCCAGCACAAAGACCGCCGTCTTGCCCATCCCAGACTTGGCCTGACACAGGACATCCATACCCAGGATGGCCTGCGGAATGCACTCGTGCTGGACTGGGGGTGAGAGACATGTCAGTGACGCCAAGCGTGGGGTGCCCCCCACCGCGGGGCCGAGCCGGGAGCTGGGGCAGCGCACCTTCCGAGGGGTGCTCGAAGCCGCAGTCCACAATGGCACGCAGCAGCTCCGGCTTCAGCAGGAAGTCCCGGAAGCCGGAGCTGTGGATAGACACGTAGGAGCCCTTGACGTCCTTCTTGGGGGGCGCCGGGGTGCTCTCAGTGGGCGCCTGAGGCTCCTCGTCCTCCTCGTAGTCCAGGAGCTCATTCTCCACGTCCTGCTCGGTCATCGTACTGAGATGGGGAGACACGGAGGCTCAGGGGCCGGGTGCGCCCTGGAGTCCCAGGAGTGCGTGGTCGCGGTCTGCTCGGGGATCCCGAGACAGCCTCCCGTTGGGCCTCCGGCTGGTCTGGGGGGACGGCATCCTGGCCACAGCTTCTGGGCCTCTCAGTACTCAACTCAGGGCGAGGCCCTTTCCTCAGGTCTTCCTCAAGCCTTCCCCCAGACTCCTCACCGCTGCCCCCCCAATATCCGCACCTCCCCGAGGATGTGGGTGCAAACCCTCGCGTGCCCTGGGCCGGCCCCATCTCTCACAGCTGCTGGGTTCACAGCGCCCCTATTCCCAGTCCAGGCATTCCCCAAGACCAGGGGTTCAACTCCAGGCAATTCTAAGCCATGTGGGGACAAGAGCCCAGGGGTCCCTCCACAGCCAACCCACCTGGCCACTGGGCTGCTCCCCATCCTCCATCCCGACCCCTCAACTCTGCCCTGCCTCTAGGACACAGCCTGACACCCCCACAGCTCCCCCATCGCCTCTACAGACGCCAGGTCCCTAGGACCAAGGTCTCGGGGTAGAGCCCGCCTGGGCGACTGAGAGCTGTACCCTGGAAAAGTGCAGGTCCTCCTGGGGGTACGCAGAGTGACGAGCTGTGGGAGGGCTGCCCAGGCCCGAGGGACTCAGGTGCTAATTCAACTCCACAGGTGGGAGCAGCGACCGGATCTCCAAAACCCATCTCCAAGCTGTGGATGCCTCCCTAGGGTGTGGCCAGCCACAGGGTGAGGGAGGGAGGTGTGTGGGGCGGCCGTCCGCCTCTCCAACAATTTCTGCAAGTGCACCCCATGCAAGCGATGTGGCGCCAGCAGGCAGGCGTGGAGGTGAGAAAACGCACACGGAGCGTGGAAGGGACTGGACACTCAACAGGGGATGAGGAGGAGCGGCGGCCATGGCGGAGGGGCCCCTGCCCTGCCCAGCCCAGTCCCGGTCCAGCGAACGGCGGGGAGAGCACGACGGGCACACCCGCGGACATCCACGGACACCGAGCCCCGAACCAACGGCCGCCCCGCGCGCATGCGCCCCGGTGCCCAACGGCCACCCGCCGCGAGCCGGGCGCCCCCAACACTGGGCCCCGTGCAGCCCTGCGCCCCAAACCCTGCGCCCCAAACACTGGGCCCCAAGCAGCCCTGCGCCCCAAACCCTGCGCTCCATACAACCGTGCGCCCCAAACACTGGGCCCCAAGCAGCCCTGCGCCCCAAACCCTGCGCCCCATACAGCCGTGTGCCCCAAACACTGGGCCCCAAGCAGCCCTGCGCCCCAAACCCTGCGCCCCATACAGCCGTGTGCCCCAAGCACTGGGCCCCAAGCAGCCCTGCGCCCTAAATCCTGCGCCCCAAACAACCGTGCGCCCCAAGCACTGGGCCCCAAGCAGCCCTGCGCCCCAAACAACCGTGCGCCCCAAGCACTGGGCCCCGAGCAGCCCTGCGCCCCCGGCACTCGGCCCCGCGCCTTTCCCCGGCCGGCCGCCGCCCTACACTCCCAGCACTCGGCCCCGTGCGGCCCCGCGCCCCCGGCACTCGGCCCCGCGCCCCCGGCACTCGGCCCCGTGCGGCCCCGCAGGCCGCGAGCCGGGCGCCCCCACACCAGCCCGCCCCACGGCCCCGCACACCCGCCGCTCACCCGGTCCGTCGCTCTGCTCCTCGCGCTCGCGAACACACGGCCGTCTGCCCGTCCGCCCGCGCGCACGGACTCGCAGCTCCGCGTTTCCGCCTTCTTCCGGGAGACTGCGGCCGGTTCACTGAACCGCCCGGCCCGTTCAGCCGAAAACATAGCCTTGATTGGATTACTGCCGGGCGGGCGTCGGGACGCTATTGGTGAATCAAGAAAGAGGGCGTGCCGTACGCCTGCATTTCATTGGTCCGTGCTTAAGGGAGGCGCGCCGCTTAGCGAACGAAATGTGTTCGCGCGCTATCACGTGATCGACGCCATGCTCAGTACTGGCAAAGGAAGGCTAACCGTGGACTCCTGGCGTATGCCCCGCCCTTTGTCAGGGTGGCGCCCGAACTGCCAGCAGGCTGCCTGGGGAACCTTGTACGGTGGATCCTTCTGGAAAGACCCCGGAGACCCCTTCCGCGGTGCAGCCTCGAGTGACCACTGGAGATTCGGTTCCTCTCTTGTCGGAACCTCCGGTGAATGCAATTCCTTCATAATGGGCTTTTGTCACCGAATGCTTTACTTCAAAAAACTTTTTTTCTTACTTAAACTCATGATCCTTGCAGTGGATGGGGGGGGAGGGTGAGGCAGGAAATAGCTCTTTCATTTTTTTTTTTCAATTTTATTTACCGAAGACTATCTCATTATATGGCTGTAACCTACGTGTGGATATATAATATATGTATGAATAGGTTTACCTTGTAATTCCTTAAACAGAAAACAAACAAAAACACTATTTATAATACTCATACAAGTCAACATACTTTGTCCACTCCCCGTTGATCAAGGGGTCGGTTGCTCTGGTCGTTGTTACTAATGCTTGCCCAGCAAGGTGTGTGTGTGTGTGTATTTTTCATTTTTCTTATGTAAACACTGAGGGTCTCCTTGCTTCAGGACCCCCACATGCTCCTGAAGTGTTGACTCTGCTTCACAATTCCAACTGAAGACTTTGGAAAGTTCTAGAAAACCCCGATCCTGGCTCACAGCTAGTAGGGTCCACTCTGGGCTCAGCCGTTTTGGGAATTTGGGGAACTAGGGGGCAGGGAGAGAGTCAAACGGCCTCCAATTCCTGGCAACTTTCCTGACACAAATTTCCAAGAACATCCTAGAAGTTCGGATGTGTTCAGGGTCAGCCACCTTGGGGCAATTACATGCTCGATGACTCCGAGTTGGCAGAGAAGTTTAACTCCTGCCAAAACAGAAAGAAAAAAAAAAGAATTTAGTCTTCAAGGTGAAGGGTACAGGTGTCTGCCACCTGGCTTGGGTTTAGGGAAGGGACACGGGTGCTGGGCCCTTGCCACCCAGCCCAGTGCAGACCTTGGAGGACTTCCCTGTCTCCCCCAGGAGACCCGAGAAGGAAAGGTTAGTGAAGGCAAGCCCACCCAGAGAAGGAAGGCGCTATCCTGATGGACAACAGGAACAGCACTTACTAACCGGACCGTGTCTGGCCACAGAGCCAGCAGCAAGACCTTCCTCGCTGTCTCTCCTCCTCTCTGTGTACCTGACTTTGCAATTAAATAAATAAATAAATCTTTAAAAACCAAAGAAGTGAACCAGAAGATGGAAGATCTTTGTCTCTCCTTCCGTCTGCAAATCTGCCTTACCAACAAAAATAGATGACAATTTCTTTAAGAAATTTAAAAAGAAACCAAAAAACTCAGCTATTACCATAAAAAAAATACCTCGGGGCTGTGTTCCGCAATTCAAAATTAATTTTTGAGATCTGTGATGGACACAATAAAATTGCAGTGCCTAGGACTAGCTGGTGAACCTGATGTCTACAGTGCTGGCGTCCCATGGAACCAGCGGTGCCTGACTCCTTTCTGCTTCACTTTTTTTTCTTTTTTAAGATTTATAGATTTTTATTGGAAAGTCAGATATACAGAGAGGAGGAGAGACAGAGAGGAAGATCTTGCATCTGATGGTTCATTCCCCAAGTGGCAAGAACTACCAGAACTGAGCCAATCCAAAGCCAGGAGCCAGGAGCTTCTTCTGGGTCTCCCACATGCGTGCAAGGTCATAGGGTTTGGGCCGTTCTCCACTGCTTTCCCAGGTTGCAAGTAGGAGCTGGATGGGAAGCGGGATCCTGGGACAGGAACTGGTGTCCATATGAGATCCCAGCGTGTACAAGGTGAGGACTTTAGCCACTAGGCTACCATGCTGGGCTCAACACGTTAAAAAACAAACACCTTTAGGGCCTGGTTGCCTAGCAGCTAAAGTCCTTGCCTTGAACGCACCAGGATCCCATATGGGATTATTTTCATTTTATTTGAGCGAGAGTGAAAGAGTGAGAGCGTGTGACCGCATATGCTAATTCACTCCCTACCTGCCCACCACAGCCAGGCATGGGCAAGGCTGAAGCCAGGAGTCCGGAATCGCCTGCAGGTCTCCCATCCGGGTGGCAGGGAGCCAAGGACGTGAGAGCCATTATCTGCTGCTTTCCAGGGTGCACGTGAGCAGGGAGTTGCTGCGTGGGGAGCCGACTTGAAGCACACTCTCCCTTGTGGCTCCATGGGTCCCGGGAGGCTGCTCACAGCTGCCCCTGGGTATCCCTGAGCACTTTCATGCCAAAGGCCAGGGTCTCCCAGGACCTAAGGAGCTGGAGGTGACGCCAGGAAATTCCTGTATATTGTCGGATGTGCTTTTCAGGTGGGGCGGGCAAGGCAAGGCAGTCGGTGCATAGCATATGCATTGCTGGGAGAGTCACTAGGGACCTCGGAAGGGCGGGGATCGCACTGCACCCAGGGACCCATGCCTGGTTTCTTCCAGATCTCTCAAACTGGCACAGGGTCCCAAGCACTTGGGCCGTCCTCCACTGCTTTCCCAGGCTCAAGATCCGGGAGCTGGATGGGAAGTGGAGCAGCCAGGACTCCAACCAGTGACCCTATGAAATGCCAGTACCGCAAGTGGGAGCTTTGCCCACTATGCCACATCACATGTGACCCTGTCTCCCACAGGGTGACCCACGCTCCTGGCTTTTCCCTGGCCTGGTCCTGGCTGTTACTGCCACTTGGGAAATGAACCAGCCAATGGAAGATCTCTCTTTCTCTCTTTGTTGCTTTGCCTTTGAAATAAATACATACTTTAAAAAAAATACACAAGCAATTCACGAATCAAGCAGGGCTGTCAGCCAGAAATGACAGGGCAAGGGACCAATCTGAAAAAAATCAACCAAAGGAAGTGACCTGGGCCCACTGCAGTGGCCTAGTGGCTAAAGTCCTGGCCTTGCATGCATCGGGCACTGGTTCATATCCTGGGGGCCCTGCTTCCCGTCCAGCTCCCTGCCTGTGGCCTGGGAGAGCAGTCAAGTTTGGCTCAAAGCCTTGGAACCCTGTACCCAGTAGGGAGACCCGGAAGGGGCTCCTGGCTTCAGCGTGGCTCAGCCTTGTCATTGTGGTCATTTTGGGCAGTGAACAGTGGGTAGACAATCTCCCTCTGTCCCTGCTCATTTTCCAATTCAAACACTAATACACATATTTCAATAGAGGCCCAAATGAACCTCTAAATGAGCAGAAAGCCAGTCCAGGGGAGTTGGTTGGGAAATCCCTCATCAAACTTGGAACAAGCATGCAAAGCCCGTGGTTGGACATCAGCAGGCCTGTGACACTGGGCAGCTGGACAGGCAGGCTGAGATGTTCTTCCGTGTGCTGGGAAGCCGGTGAGAGATCGTCCCCAAGGGCAGGCTCCTGGCTATGGTGGCAGGTGCAACCCGGGGCCTGGAGAAGGCAAGTGGAGGCCCTGGGGCGGGGCTGCGCTCCGACTCTGTGGATGTGGCACGTGGAACCTTGTGGTCCCCAGGTGCCGCCAAAGTCTGCTTCCAGTGCCACCAACGTCCCCAGCGGGCAGCGATCAATGCTCGCTGAATAAATGAATCCCTGAAGGTTGGAGCCAAAGCTTGGCAGCTCTCCCCAGCTGGTGCCATCCATCCCAGGAAGCCAGCCTTGGGATCAGGCGGGTGGGCAGGCACACAGGCACACACACACACAGTCTACACCCCGGCCCAGTCCCTTGTCCCTCCTGGAAACCTCACTCTGTCTTGTTTTTGCTATTTGCAAAATGGGTGACCTGGGGAGGGGGTGAGAGGCAGATAACAAGCCCCATTCCCCTACAAGCCCAGGACATGGGTCAGAGTAGAAAACTGCCTACCTTGTAGCTCGGGAAGACGTACTTCTCCAATCAACAGCTTGCTGAGGTCTTCGATGCAATCAACAAACACCCTCTGGACAACTTCGGAGGCCAGCTGGCTGGAGGGAGCAGAGTGTTGGGAGAAGGTCAGGGCTGACGCCCGGCGAGTCCTGGAGGCTGCAGGGAAGACTTCCTGGCCCTGTGCCCTGAGTCAGGTGGGAGATGTGGAGTGCTCCAGGGAGAGGCGGGGGAAAGGGAGGACTCCCAGGCTCCCTGACCTGTCCAGTGAGTTGGGGCTGCAGGAGAGGAAATGGTGGTCAACAGGCTAACTCTTTACCTGTACTGTCAGCATCCCATAGGGGCGCCGGTTCTAATCCCGGCTGCTCCACTTCCCATCCAGCTCCCTGCTTGTGGCCTGGGAAAGCAGTGGAGGACGGCCCACAGCCACGGGACCCTGCACCCGCGTGGGAGACCCGGAAGAGGCTCCTGGCTGCTGGCTTTGGGTCGGCCATTGTGGCTGTTGGGGGTGGAGGTGTGAACCAGTAGATGGAAGATCTTTCTCCCCGTCAATCTGTCTTTCCAACAAAAATAAATCTTTAAAAACAAACAAAACTACAAAAATGCATGGATGCTTTCAGATGTAGTATATGCTTTCTTGAAAATCCCGACTCTTTCCCCAGAGTTGGCCAAAAACCAGACGGGGCAGGCTACACGTGGGCACTCAAGTCTCTAAGGACCACGGAGTCCAGGCAGGCAAGCGCCACCCACGGGGCCTGCAACCCTCCCCTGCCTCACCGCCCCCTCACTCCCAGGAGGACCCAGGCGTTGGGGTGTTTTCTGAGCAGTGGGGTTTTGTAAAGAGTAAGGGTAGTGGGTCACTGGGTAAGCGGTGGTCCTGGGGTGGGCATCCAGGGACTGCATGCATGGCAGCCTTGCGGCCGCCACCATCGCAACACCCCACTCCTCTTGGCTCGGCTCACCAGAAGGCCTGCCACATTTCCAGGACAGCAGCTAAAACACTTCTCAGCGCTCGGCTTGGCATGCACACACAGCTGCATTAAATTCCCTTACACCCCGGCGGTTGGTGAGTAAATCGGCAGGAGGAGGCGCCCTTAAGGGGGCTGAAGGCTGGCCCAGGAGGGTAGCCCCAGGCACGGACTGACCCAGTCTGGAACGGGGTGGGGTAGGGTGGGCTGCGCTTGACTTGGCCCAGCAAGCTGTATTCTTTATCTTATTTGGGGTGGGGTGGCGGGGCTCTCAGCTGCTCTCCTCTCCCCCTGCCTGGGGGGCACCCCAGGACCGCGCTCTAGAAGGCCTGGGCGCTTGGTGGGGGTGCCCAGCCGGCCCTCTCCCCCGCCTGGGGGGCACCCCAGGACCCGTGCACAGGCCGGGCCGCAGGGTGGGGGTGCCCAGCGGCTCCGCCCCCTCCCCGGGCGCTGA